AAATAGAAAAAGAGAAATTTCTATGGCTCTTTCAGTTTTACTCTTTTTTTCCTTATTTAGAAAAATAAAGTCCACTGAAATTTCTTTTGTCTGGGGTGCCTGCATGGCTCAGTTGCTTAAGCATCTCTCTTCCCAGGGTGGGGTCCTGGGATCGAGCCCCTATTGGGCTCCATGCTCAGTGGGGAGTCTGCTTCTCCCTCTGCCTACTGCTTCCCCTGCTTGATGCTCTCACTCGCTCTCTCTCAATGAATAAATAAAAAAATCTCTTTTTAAAAAGACTTTATTCATTTGAGAGAGTGAAGACAGATAGAAGAGCACACAATCTGAGGTGGGGGGGTGTTGGCTGGTGGCAGAGGGAGAGGGAGAAGCAGACTCCCGCTGAGCAGGGAGCCTGATGTGGGGCTCAATCTGGGACTTTGAGACTATGACCTGTGCTAAAGAAAAATGTTAAAAAAAACTGAGTAAAGCATGTACCCCAAAAAAAAAAAAAAAAAAAAAAAATTTTTTTAAAAGAAAGTTCTTTTGTCGAAAAACTACCAGAGAAAGAAAGGAAATGTTTAATAAAATGAAGATGTCTCATTATGCATTCGGGGCAAGGCCATGTGCCCTAAGAGGCTGCCTTAGCAACCAGAAACACTTCACCCTGCGCTGGGATTATGACACCCCAGAGGCTGCAAAGAGAAGCTCACAGCAGCCACACAGTAGCAGCCGCTGGCCAGACCCTCGGTGAAGGGCTGTATACAGTGGCGACAGTTATCAGCACCAGCTCTGAGTTAGCAGGCCTGTGTCTGAGCCGGCTCTACCACCTGCTAGCTGGGTGCACTCGGGAAAGTCCTCTGACGTTCTGAGCCTCAGTTTCCCCTTTATCCGTACATGGAGATAACCAAACAAGGTTCTGGCAAGGGCTAGGAAAGCCGTCTACAGAAACCACTTAACAGGGCTGACCCTGCAGGGGTCTGGGGATGCTGCCTGTTGTTAATGCTTAACTCATGTCCTCTACCCTCTGTAGCCGCTAGGGACCCAGCCCTGTGAATTTAGCTCAGATGGAGTTTAAAGGCACGAGGAGAAGACAAGCAAGCTGAAGCATCCACCAGGAGAACAGGCCTGGGGGGAATTTCAGAGCAGGGAGAGGAGGTCCCACCCACACCAAAAGGCCACTCTATTTCTCTCCCCCTTGGAAGATGACACACCCACTTGCCACAAAATAAAAGATGTGAGGATCAGAAATGAGGTTGCTTTGAGAAGGCTGATTATACAAACATACAAATGAAACATTTTTGTTACAATTAAAAGTCCTCATTAAATTAAGATAAATTACTTTCCTACTACAAAGTAGTTAGGCTTTTCCACTCAAGGCAAAACCACTTACATGACTTTAAAATTGTCAGGTTACTGTATTAAAGAGAAAACCACTTGAGCTCTTGCCCTCGCCCTAATGAATGGATGAGTCTCAGAATACACATTTGTGTTGTTGCTGGTTTTGTTGTTTATTTATTCTGGAATTTGGCCAGGGGAAGGGGATTTCAGTAGTGGTCTCAATCAAACCCATGGCAATTTGGAATTATTACATCGTGGAGAGAGTCAAGATAATGCTTTGTTTCACAAACGTGGAAAAAGAAGCTAATATAATTTTATCTAGAAAGTCTAAATAATGAAAATTCAGTAAATCCATTCCACGAAAATGAGCTTCTTTATTAAAAAAACAAAAACAAAAACTAAAATTTTGGTGGCCCAAAGGAAAAGCTGTAGGTAACAAAAAATTCCTCTGCTCCCTACCTGGTCTCCAACCTGTAGGGGGCGGGAGGGGGGGTGTAAAACAGGCTTATCTTGATAACAGGTTAGTGATTTGAACCTTATGGTCTCTGAGATTCCAAGATGAATGCTTTTAAATATGAACAGATACTTGGAAACTCTGAGTAACTAGTCATAAACAATGCCTTTGCTGAGTCACATAGCCTGATTTTTCAGGGATAACAAATTCCTCCTGCACATTGCCTTTTGAGGAGCAAACTTGTTGCACCAGCATTTGCCCTCACAGCTCTGTAGAAGCTAGATAAGGACCTCTAATCAGGTAAGACTCCAATCAACGTCACCTGAGAACAGCTCGGCAACTATAAATAACTTGATTTCCTGTGCTCAGTGTAAGTGGCAGTTGTGACTGAAGGGTTTTCTTGTGTTTGTTTGTTTTTAATTTGTGAAGGAGGCTTCTGCTATGTTGTATTACCTCCAGCTGATGAGAAAGTAACTCTTAAAGCAAAAGGGAAATTTAGTCTCATCTTTGCCCTAGGGGGACACTCTTAATCCTATGAGAAAAGACCTTACTTCACTATTTTTGTATCTTAACTGCTTGGGAAAGTGACCCATCTAAAACAAGGCAGGTTTCCAGGGCTCAAATCTCTGAGCCATGGCAGGTTTTATGACGTTTGTACTGACTGCACCCCCACACTGGGCAATGCGCCTACTTGTCAAGACCTGGGGACCTTGGGACAGGGACCCACAATGATGAGAGTTCGACCCAGGCAGGCTGTCCTCAGGACAGGACTGGTGGCTGGTGAGGGCTTAGTGCCAATCAGTTATGTCGAAAAAGACTAGAGGTGACACAACCAGTCATAAGCACAAGGAAGTTACAAAAGTGAAAGAAATGTATGGTTTCTATACTCAGAGAGCTCCAGGGCCAGAGCTTGCTGTTGTGTAAGGCACCCCCCCCCAACTGTTCATTCAGCACTTCCTTTTATTTATTTTTTATAATTCTATTTTTAAAAAAGATTTTATTGATTTCTTTGGCAAAGAGAGCACAAGCAGGGGGAGCGGCAGGCAGAGGGAAAGGGAGAAGCAGACTCCCCGCTGAGCAAGGAGCCTAACATGGGGCTTGATCCCAGGACCCCAAGATCATGACCTCAGCTGAAGGCAGATGCTTAACTGACTAGGCCTCCCAGTTGCCCCTCAGCACTTCCTTTTAACCAGACCTTTAACCTCATAAAAGGACTGAGTTTTACTTCTGTTTCCCAGGCCCCACTCTAAAATACTTTTTGCTACTATTCACTAAAAAAAAAAACAAAACAAAACAGAACTATAGGTTCACAATTTCTTCTTGGAAACCCCTGGGGCCAAACAGGTTTCAGAATTCAACATTTTTGGATTTTAGAAGGGTGATAAGTTGCATAGGCCCTCGAGTCTGTAATCACCAGAGTAACAGCCGTCAACCAAGCCATTCCCAGGCTGCAGAGAAATGTGTGAATATTCACAATGAGAGGAACACAGATGGAAAACAGCCTCCCATCAGCCAGGGCAGGCCTTCCCGCCAAATGAATTCTGCCACAAACTTAAAAAAAACAACAACAACAAAACAAAAACAATTTTCAGTTTTTGGAGTTTACTGGGTCCTCGAATTGGGAGTACAGTGGGGCACCTCAATCAAAGCCCGGTCCAGACTCTCCTGTGACTTATCTCCACAGCACCTCTATGAAGAACGCTTCTCAACCAGATCCAATCCACAGATAAGGGTTAATGGAACCTGGCAGCCAGTGCCACGGAGATCCCACGTTACTTCTCCTCATTCCTCTGATGGCCTGTCCCTCCCGTTCCCACATCCTGATTCTCCATGTTTACTCTTTCTTCCATCAAGGGCTCCCTGCCCAGCTCTTGGTCCCTTGGAGCCCGACTCCTGCCCAGGGCTAACAGCACCCTGCTCTTGCCATCTATGGTTTGCCTGGGCGACTCTGCAGAACACCAGCATCTCCCAGCAAGCTCCTCGTCCTTCCTTCTTCTGAGGGCCCTTCCCTGCTGGTGATGCACAGATGTCTCCGTAGGCTCCCAGACCCCCAGACACCAGCCAGGTGAAGGGGTAGGAACCAGCTCCAAAGGTCTGGCTTATGGCAGGAACTTTAAACCAGGCAACAGAGGAAGCACACTAACCCAGACATTAAAAATATCCACCTGACAGTACTCAGCAAGGAAAGCAACCTTCAAGCATGGATTCATCAAAGTCTATTTCTATGCTTCTCCCTGGCATTTACCAGGAAGCTCCCCAAGGTTAGGGCAGTCTTATTTATCTTGGATCCCCCGCAAATACCCAGTAGATGATTAATTTCTGCCTGATGAAGGAGTGATTGTGTCCAGATCACACTTCTATCAAGGCTCCCCCCCCCAAAAAAAACTGGGTGAAATGAAAATCTCCATAGGGTCTCTGTGCAGTACTGACCTCGTCGTTCTTTTTCAAAGTGCACCCTTTTGTCTTTATATATTTCCATTCGCAGTCAATCACAAGCTGCCCGAAAATGGGTAATTACAAACCTTCCCCACCTTACCCCCTGTCCAGTTTTAATGTCCAACTATCCCCACATACATGATCCCAGTCCTGGGTGGGTACTGAGCTGGATAATTGCAAAATCCCACTCATGGAGGATCCTGCCAAGCCCTGGAAACCCCCAGGAGACCAGCCAAGGTGGATTCAGTGACCCGGGACCATGGAGGTATTTGGAGCAATCAGGCCCAGCCCCACTAGACCTAAAATCCAAAGCAGGATAAGTACTCCAAACTACCCCGGCCGCTGGTGGTGCCAGCCTCAGGGTGAGGGCACCGGCTTCGGGCACCAGTTCCCAGGTGCCATATATTGTAAAACACCAAACTAGCAGCTGCGACGTAAACTCTCGACCACGCGTCGGCTGGGCTGAGCCCGTCCCAGGCCGCCACTGCAGGGGCAGGGGAACGACCGAGTTTCTTTCGGTCCCAGCGAGGGGCGGCTCGGTCCGCGACAACGAGTTTTCCGGCGCGTAGGGAGGACCGCGCACACCGGACCGCGAACGCACAGACAGCAGAGCCCGCTCCCGCCCGCGCATCCTCGCGTGGGGACGTTCACTGCAGGGAGTGCCGTCCACGCGGGGCACACCCCGCACTTCCCCGGACACAGAGGGCAGCGGCGGAAGGTCCCACTGCCCTGGGGGCCTCAGAACGGCAACCAGGAGCAAAGCGAAAGTTTCGACAACTTGTTTTCCTCTTACCAGTCTCTGAGCTTCTGGGCTCAGACAGTCTATTTCCTTGTTCTGCGTGGCCGCGGGGTTGGTCATCCTGCCCAGCGATCAGTCCGCCTTCTCGGACAACCGGGGAAGAGACTCGCTAGAGTTGTTGGATCCGCGGGCCGGCAGGCTCTCAGCGCCGCCGCATGCCCGGAGTGGCGGGATTACTGTTCCCAGAGACACAGCGCGCGTCGCAACGGGGACTCGCCGTTCCCAGAGCAGGGGCGCGCCTCCGCCTTTCCCGGGCTCGGGCGCGGCCGGGGCGGGGCGCAGGTGGCTGGGGCGGGCGGGGGCGGGGGCACCCGGGGGCCGAGGAGCCAGGGCCGCCTCTTGAGTGTTCCGCCCCTCGGGGTCCCCCACCCAGCCGCCCGCGCGCCCCGCCCCCGGGGGTTTTCCCCACCACCCCCTCGCGCTCTCTCCCAATCCCGTGCGCCCCGTCCGGACCGCCCCGAGCCCCAGCTGCGTGGTTATCAATCACCGCCCAACCCCCTCCCGCAGACACCGGAAAGGCGGAGGTGGGGGGAAGGGAGGGGAAAGAAAAGACCACAGCCGGCCCCGCCCACAACCCCGCTCCTGCTGCGCGCCCAAAGTCGGGGAAGGGCAAGTTGAGGGGCCTCGGGGAGAGGGGGCTCGCGGGAGCAGCCCACGCGGCGCAGGAGTCGGCTTGGGGAGTGGCCTGTGCGGGTCTGCGCGGCGGTAAATCCTCTGGGGCGGGGCCTGCGTGGGGGCGGGGCGAACTGCCGCCCGGACCCCGCCCCCGGCCCGTCGGTGCCCAGCTACCCGCGGCTGCCGCGGGGCAACGTCCACCAAACTCGGGCCAGACTGAGCTTCTGTGTTGCCGCAACCTCCGCCCGAGCACAGCAGTACCTGCTGGCGGGGGTACCCCGTTAACGCGTCACCCCGAGAAGGGCCGGCTTCTAGAACCCCAAAACTGCGCCGCCCGCGCCCGCCTCCCGCTCAGGAAGCCGGCGCAGCAAAGAGCCGGGGTGCCAGCGGTTTGGCGTGGATCCGGGGGGCTGTGCGTCCCAGGCGCGGCCGCGAGGACGGTGCGAGGCAGGGGCCGAGCCGGGAGGAGCGGAGTCGCCCCTGCGTGGGGACCGGCACCGGCCCACCAGCACGCGCCTCCTCCAGCCGCAGGACACGCGTACCTCCTTCTTTAAAAATCCAAAGGGCAGCGCAACGCCACGTTTCCCGACCTCGCCAGTCTGGGGCAGATTTTTATCGAACACTAATCCGTCCTGGCCAGGCCCTGTGTCCGCTGTGCCTGCAGCCTGACTGCGCGCCCTCCTGCTCTCCTGTCTTGACTTTGCCCTCCTACCCAGAAGCTCCTTCTCAGAAAGACCACCTCCCCGCCTCAAAACCCGCCCCTGAGCACAAGACTTCGGAGGAGGGCGCTCCTAAAGGAAGGGGTTAACTCAGGGTGGGCTGGCAGAGGAAGTCTCGGAGGACCGGACCTAGTTGAGAGAGTAGGGGCCACAGAATAGAGATGCCAAGTAGATGTCTGGAGTGACCCCCGTGGGAGGAATTCACCAGGCTTTAAGGTGAACACACGCCGAGCCTTCCAAGCTTTGACGGATAGCATCGTTAGGTTTGCCAAAATAACTTTCAAAGAGATTGAAATGCTTACCTTTTAATATCTGTTTTCTTGCTATACCTCTTTTTAAATATGTTAGTGTATTACAATTCTTAATTCTTGGAAGTTAAATTCACTGGAGAAGATAATTTTAAACTCTTCTGCATAAACAAGAACAGAACTTACGGAATTTATCATGGAAAGCAATAATAATTTTAGTAGTAACTTCACAGATGAGAATGACAGACAATAAAATAGCCTTCTTTGAGACTTCAGTTTGAATATTCCAGTCTAGGTAGGTGAATCCTGAGCTACTAGCCTTCCTAAACCCTGTAACCACATCTTCCAGAGCAGGGCACAGGGAACAGGCTTCATTTGCTAGAAGGCATCTACATTCTCCCCAAACCCCAGGCCACCATCCAGTCTCTAGGTATCAGCTCCATTAAACCATGCAGGGAAGGGGTTAAATGGGCTCTGGAATTAAAGCATCTGGTTCAGGGACCCCTGGGTGGCTCAGTGGGTAAAGCATCTGACTCTGGATTTCGGCTCGGGTCCGGATCTCAGGGTCCTGGGATCTAGCCCAGCAGTGGGCTCTGCACTCAGCAGGGAGTCTGCTTGTCCTTCTCCATCTGCTTCCCCACTCCCAACCCCCACCTCAAATAAATAAATAGAATCTTTTTTTTTTATATTTTATTTATTTGACAGAGCGGAAGCAAGGGGAGCATTAGGCAGAGGAAGAGAAAGAAGCAGACTCCCCACTTAGCAGGGAGCCTGATGTGGGAACTGATCCCAGGACCCTGGGATCATGACTTTAGCTACAGACAGGAAGCTCAACCGACTGAGCCCTCCAGGGACCCCAATAAATAAAATCTTAAAAAAAAAAAAAAAGCACCTGGTCCAATTCCTGGTTCTGGCACTCTGTGAGATCTAGAGCTGGTTGCTTAGCCCTGTGTCTCAAGCTTCATCTGAAACACGCCAGTGGTAATGAGAGTGCCCCCGAGTAGCACCTCCGGGTGTAGGAGAGGAGCACGGGCACCCATGCGCAGACCCTACTGAGCAGCCCTGCTAGAAATGGAGACCAACACTGCTGGCCAGCCACTCTCTTCCCTTCATCGCCAGAGTCCCCATCCAAGGCTCCCAGGCTCTCCTATCCTCCTCCCCTACAGCAGGAAGGAAGTGGGGCAACGACGGGTTCAAATGGCTGAGAAACGCAATGACCAGAGAAGCCTCGGGAAGGGCTGGCTGCAGAAGCTGTGGGTGGCAAGACACCATCAGGGAGTAAGAAACAGCTAGCTGACTGCTTTTAGTCCTAGGAACAAACTAACGATACCACCAATAAAATAATAATAGTGCCCAGGAGATTTCTTATTCCACAAAATGGTAGCCCATTAGAGAAACCTGCTGTTCTAACATCCTTCCAGATGGGAAGATGCTGTGCCTGAGTGTGTCTCAGTCCAGTTGGCCCTGTGAGATGGCCAAGCCTCAGAACCCTTCCCAGCCACAGGCAAGTGTCAAAGTCTATCATAAGAAGAGCCCTGAATCCTGCTTCTTGGTGTTATCATATAGATCCCGGGACCCAAGAAAAACATGTAAAGGGTCTATGTAGTTGCCATCTGTTAATTTTGATGTCTCTAACGGAAAGGACCCCTCAATGAAGACCCTTCTGCAAACAGGCTTTTTTTTTTTTTTTTTTTTTTTTCTCATAGCAAGGCCACTTATGAGGGATGATTAATTAGTAACCAGAACCTACAAACTTGTTTTTGGAAAGTTCACGAAGACATCAAAGATGGGTGCAGCTGTGAAAAGTGACGTGCCTTAGAATGGGACACACTCCAAGACACATTTTCCCTGTGCTCACAGCTCGAAAAACAGCTTGGCACAGTAGTAGACACCCTTTCCCTTGAAGAAGATAGAAATAAACCCACCTGAGAGTGTCAGGTGAGAAGGAGGACTTAGGAAGCCTGAGGTTTCCATCCTCAGGAAGGTTAGCAGGATAAACCCAGGGTGTCTTGGAGAGGGCTGAGTGGCATGGGGTGGGGTGCTCAGGTACAGGACAGCCCTCCGCCTAGCCAGGGCCAGTTCTCCCCCGGGGTCCTTATATGAGGAGCTGTGAGGTTAAGGCCACTGGTTCACTTTCCCAGTTCTATCCCCTATTGATCAGGGTGCCCCTTGTAACAGGTCGACTGCGAGTTTCCCGCTCCTTCCCAGCTGCCAGGCCTGGGAGCTCTGTACAGAGGAAGCGCTGTAAGTTTTGTGAAAGCTGGGCATTGCCCTAGGCATTCCTAGAAGCCACCAAGCTTGGGATCCTCTGTGCCCTCTCAACCAAAGTTAAATGTCCAACATCTAAAAGAAGCAGTTCTCCAATGTACAACAAGATTATATGCAGGGACTTAATTTCTTCAGGGACCTCTGAGAAAACCAAGGGTAAATAGAACTATCTTACTTCGTTCTGGGAACCTCAGAATCATAGCTAACCAACATGCCAGAACATTTAACCAGCGAGACCACACCCAAGCTTGGTTTACTCATCTCCATGGTGTTGGCCTGTTGCTGGATTCGAGCTTCGCCTCCTCCTGTGGTTTGGTTCGAAATGCTAGAACCACAGAGACAAACCCTTCCTGGGATCCCAGCAGAGAGCAGAGGGCAGACGGTGGGGGTGGGGGAGGTGCTCTCAGCCTCCCCTTTGGTCAAATGACAGACACCGAGCCATTTTTCTAAGTCACACCCGTAACTGTTGTTTTCCATGAACATGAATCACTATTTCATATTGATTACAACAAAATAAACAACTCCAAATACTTCTACAAACGATGAGCTTATTATTATTATTATTTAACTTTATATGGATCCTTTTGACTAATATCACAGAATGCCTCATGTTAAAAAGCTGTTTCATGAGATGATGATGCAGTCCTGGGCAGCCCCTTTCCACTTACAAAGCACTTTACACACAGAGGCCTATGAAGGTCGTGTGACTTGTCTGCAGACCCGAGTTGGAAGAGTGAGGCTGGGCTCACTAACCCAAGTCCCCACTGCAAGTCTGAGACCTTAGGATAATGTGTACAGCCTTGTCCCCACTCCCAGACACCACCCACGGGTCCCTACTTCCAGCTACCACTCAGGGGTCTTGACTGAAGAGAGAGTCAACAGACAGGCTAGGTGGTGCCCTCCGTGGTCCCCCAGCCTTAGCCTGTACCAGTAAACCCATCTTCCCCTCTAGGGATGCCCACAAAGCCACGTGCACACCCAGATCGATGTGCTAGCCAGCTCTGCCAAGAAGACTTAGGGCACTGGTCAGGGACATCTAGTGGAGGGCCAGACCCCGCCTGGCATCAGCAGAGAAAGCTGCACCCCATGCAGCAGTGAACATAGCTCGTGGTCCGGATGGCCTCCTGTGGACAGAAGCGCCAGCAGCAAGAGTAGCTGAAAAGCAGACTGAGCTAGTTTCCTGCTGGGGCCCCACTGTGGCTCAGGTGGTTAGCCTTGGATCTTGGTTTCATTCCAGGTCATGATCTGACCTGGAATGAAATGGATCATGAGATGGAGCCCCGCATGGTGCTCTAGCTGGGCATGGAAGCTGCTTGGGATTCTCTTTCTCCCTCTCCCTCTGCCCCTCTCCCACCTGACTCACATGCTTTTTTTTCTCTCTCTCTCTAATGCTTACGTATGTATGTA